GATCAGTTATGGTGTGCACATAAGTTTAACCGTTTTCTTTGTTGGGCTCGTCCTGGAGCCCAGAGGCTGCGACACAGTATAAAGTCACTATTAGGTCCAGTAACAAATAGTTAAAGACGATTAAATATAGAAAATCATAGATCGCCTTAGGATTTACCCTTTAAAATGAACAATAGACGAGACGAGCCTCGCCAAATAAACACACAAATTGCGGGGCCCTCATTAATTTCTTATATCAAAATATTTAGACCTCGGATGTGCCATTTAGCGAATTTCATGGCTCCCCACACAGTTAATAAACGCGTAGTTGCTTTAGGCACGTATTTTAATAAATTTACCTTCCTAAATACGGGTGCACATTTATGTGACCCAAATCCAAATCTCAACGAAGTCGAAATGTGTTAACAATCACGGGCGCACTGGTGCGACGTGGTTCGAGACGCATTTTTACGCCGTTGCAATTCTTATTAAACATAAAAAAAAAAAAAAAAAAAAAAGTGGTCTACTAATAAAAGCATAAACTAGAACATGTTTTGAAATCAGATAAATCAAATACAACAGTTGAGCGACCGTGCTAGAACCACGGAACCCGGGAATGCCTAATACCTTCTCCCGGGTTAACAGAATTCCTTACCTGGATTTCTGGTTCGCGGACTGATAACAGAGTCATAATCTCCTCGGGTCGGGATTTAACCGGTGACTTGGGACACCATTAATTTCCTAAGTGGCGACTCTGAAAATTTAATAATAAATCCCGTTCCGATTGTCACTTCAAGTTGGAAATAACTCCCTTTATTATATTGTATTATAAAAGGAGGTGTGACAATATGTAAATATTTAATTATTTTTTTTATTGTAAGAAATGTTGGTTAATCTTCTTATATTTATAATTTAATTTATCTTTTAAAATAAAAGACAAAAAAATTAATTTAAAAAAAATTAAATTACGTTAAACTAAGCTAACAAATCCCAATCTCCCCCCACCTCTCACGTCCTATTCTCCACTTCAAAACCCACGTGCCCCACTCCCTCACGTCCCTTCTCCATTTTCCCCACTCATCTCAATATTAACCCACATATATGTTATACTACAGAACACATCCACATATTCTATAAATATAGGACACTTGAAAAGAAAGGGGGGATCTTTGGAAACAAAAAAAAAAGTTAACATTGAAAGTAGAAGAAAGAAAAAGACTTTGCAAAAGAAAAAGAAAAGGCAGTAACCAAGGCAAGATTCAAAAGAATTATTTGGTTGAGTTTTGAAGTTCCGTTCGTTGTTTAGAGTTC